TATTTTAGCATTCTGCTACCACTTTTTTTCGTCGTCAATTTTTGTACAAACTAAAAATCAAAGTGGATTACAGAGCCTTGATATTTCTCTGACTTCTGATTGGTCAATTAATGCCAATATCATCCGTACGGTTAAAATTAATTTACCGCTAAAATTTGTCTGTGTTTCGAGTCTATCACGCGACATACAATATTATAAACAATATTATAAATACTTGGACACATTTTCTACTCTTTCTCTCTTTCCTCTGTTTTTCTCAGAACCACAACAATGAAGAGCCCGTATCTGTCCCTTATGGGAAGATGCTATGACGCACGTGCACACATGTACATACTAACATTGCACATCTCTTAACTTATCTTATTCACTCCTTCAACTTACGAGCAACTGAAACCTATCAACTTCTAACAGTGAGCTTTGCAGCATCAAACAATTCGCCAAATAAATTCACGCCGTTCAAATCTTTGATTTTCTAAGTTAGATTTCTAACATAATCCTAAATTTCGAATTCATTCACTCACCAACAAACTACACTTCAATTTTATCATCTACGATTTTTATCGAGACAACAAGAATTCTACTCAAAGAACATGCAGTTTGCCAAACATTTTATTCAAAAAGCAACTTTGAGCATAATCTAACGCAAACTTACTGCGAGTCAACTATCTTACAGTCAAAAGATTCTTAATATTTAATGCACAATTTACTCAACAGTTAAACTTAAAAGTTTATCTTTTAAACACAAAATTCAACTTTTGATATCAGCCAACATTTCCTTTACCAATTTTGATTGCAACAAATTTTCCAAGAAGAACACAACTTACTCTCTTCATTTGTTAAATCAACTTTATTCACGTAATATTTAAACTCATTTTTTATCTGTTTCATTAACAAATATATATATATATATATATATATATATATATATATATATATATATTTAATATTCAACAAGTATAGGGAGACAACCTTAATCTCCAATATCAAACTATGACAGAAATTTACGATGTAAAATATTATTTAATCTGAACTGATTAATTCTTTGAAAATCCTTTTACTGACAGGAACACTGAACAAACTCTCTATCTGTCCCAAAAAACATTCTCATTCTCATGTTGTATATATTTGTTATATAAATGCTTTATTCTTGTTTTTCTAAAAAGGAATAATGTTTGTTTTCATTTTATCGTTGATGATCTTGTGCCATACACAAAATTAAATGTTTGTGAAGAAGTTTATTTTCACGCAGCAACACAAATTATACCTACTGATATATAGATATTTTTCCTAATGACCTACTCTTCCGCAACAGTATCATCCCGATCAAGGCAGTAAAGCCTCTAAGACACACGGGATTACAGGCTGTGGAAGAATGGGGAATTTTCCCTCCTCCCCTTTCCCCACTCTGTTTTCTCTTCATAAGATTTAAAAAAGAAAAAAAAAAATTCCGCCTACTTGGCTAAAAATCACCGACTCTATCCGAAGAGAGCTGTTTAAGACAGCTTTCGAAAATCTACCGCCAGACGAAGATGACTGTTCAGAGTATCTGGAATTTGAAGGGTCCCGATAAAAGTAATCCTGATGTTAGCTGAAGGCTAATAATGGAAAAAATAGGTCAACCCAGGAGGTCAATAATGGCCAAAATAGCCAAAATATGACCAACAAAAGTTAGGAGGCCAATAATACCCAAAAAAGTGCCCCCCCCCTCGCAAAAAAGGCACAAAGACCAGAAATAACTAGACGGAAAATTCAATGGAGGCCAATATTGGTCAAAACAATGATGACATTACAGACAAGAATACAAATGCTGAGGCTGGGGAACCGCCTTGTTATTGGAAGTCCCCCCTCCCCGAAATGCATAATCAATATTGCAGAGTTTTTGGTGTGAGCCAACAGTTACGCTCACCTTGTTTTAGAAGGTGGACTCTTGGAAGATCTCCAAGAAATGAAGAAAATTGAAAGACGAATAGTGTCAATCTTCGGCGTTGACAAGCGTACGTGCAAAATTTGTCGCACGTCGGCAGACACAGTGGTAAAACAATTAGAGTCTCTGAGGGGGGGGGTTAAGCCACTGACTTCTTCATGTGGGACGTATTGCTACCCACGTCGGAAGATTAAGTAAAAGCATCATGCAGCGACTTAATCACGAAAGATCTAATATTGCGTATAGAGTACGAAGGCATGCGTCGGGTAAGTATCAATATTGGGGAGCCACTCCTCAGGTTGTCGCGGAACATCAAGCGGCGTTCCTTACCCAGTATGGCTTGATACTGGGTGCCTGACTGGGGTATGGAGTTTCGACATCTTGTTGGGCCGAAAAGCCTTCCTCTCCATCCCCAACTGTTGGAAGTAGGGGGCCTGAAGCTGCCGGTCATTGTGACTGTCCGCAAACTGGTGTGCTTGAGGTGTGGAGAGACTAGTCACTTCCCCGCTTCCTAGAGGGAGAGTGGAATGGCTGGTGGATGGTATGGTTAGAGGGAAGCATCAGACAGCGGAGCTTCTGTCCCTTGAAGCCCCCGGGACTAAAGGCACGGAGAGACCCATTCCCTCTATCAAAATTAATGGCGAAGCCCCGGCCTCAAAATTGACTTTACAGAAGGATCTACAAAAAAAAGTATGACACCGGATGCAAAAACATCCAAACAACAACAAAAAATCCAATATGGCTGCCATTTTTCAAGATGGCTGCCAAACGGGCATTTTGCTCAAAAATCATAATGCAAATTGTTATATAAACATGAAATTTGACAGGAGTGTTCTTTGTGGGTAGGTTATTCAGGTGAAAGTGGTAGCCACGAAAAAATTTCAATATGGCAGCCTTTTTCTTTTTTTTTTCTCGAGGAGGCAGAGTAGGGCAAGTTAATTGATAAGGTCGAGTAGTGGTTGTTGGTCAATCTCCAATCAAATGTGTGATAACGGGGTATATTTATAGAAGTCAGTGGCTGCAAGCATTTTTTTAGAGGGCGTTTCAGAGTCTGATCAACTCTGAGGGGGGGGTCGATTTGGTGAGGTCAGTATGAGGTTTGAATGACCCGAAACTGCCCAATGATCCATTTCCAGAACATCACTGACGACGCCCTCTAGCGCTAAAAGAGCGTATATTCAAAGAAAAATATGGCAACCTTTTTCAAGATGGCCGATAAATGGGCCTCTGTTTCATCGTTTTACTCAAAAACCATATTAAAATTGTGATATAAACTTGAAATTTGGCAGGAGTGTTCCTTGCAGGTCTGTTTTCAGATAAAAGTTCTGGCATTGTGAAAACTCAACATGGCGGCCATTTTTTTCAAGATGATAGCCAGTGCCTCATAGTGGCAGTTCATCGAGGAGGCAGAGTAGGGCAAGTTAATTGATAAGGTCGAGTAGTGGCAGTTCAGGAGACAACATTCAAATTGAAATGTGAGGTGATAGGAAGAGAGTGTATGTCGCTCACTACCAGGGCACACTGGTGACAGACACTGCTGTGGAACTCAGCATGGGGTTCAATGTCAGCTAAACATGGAGTTTAGTATCCCAAATTCTATCTAGTAAGCCCCTAATATATTAGATAGACGTACCTGAATGGACAGGTTGTGCCAACGCGGGAGAGCCGAGCCAAGGATAACAGGGGCTTTTGAAGATATCTGGATGGTGTACAGATCTCACAGGATTCATATGGCATTGGATGAACGATTGGGCTAGGTGTAGGGCAGTTGCGTTAACCTAGTTGTATCCCATACATCAAAGTGAGCGAACGGTGGTAAAAGGATAAACCCTTGGCCGTTCCTGTCAAATGATGGATAAAGATTCCACATTGAAAACTGATTGGAGCAAATGCTGCCTTTTTCAGCGGGAAAAAAGCAAAGAAACCCTCATTTCACCTCTTAGTTCATTCCAGAGGAAGCAAGATTATGCTGGATACAGTAATATTGCAAGAAATGTACCATTGTTTTATGCCATCAATGATATGCCGATAGCACTTGACCCTTCAAGGATTGATGAAGGTGAAGGTATAGAAACCACTCTGGTTCGAAATGTAGCTAAATATCATCAGAGTTGCCGATTGTTGTTCAACAACACCAAGTTAGAAAGAGTAAAGCAAAGAAGAGCGGTCCCGAGCACCTCCGGAGCAACAGATGAACCTTGAAGCAAGAGACGAAAATCTGCAGACATTCCAAAAGTGGAATGTTTCTTCTGTGAAGAAGATGTTATTTCGAATCTGCAAGAGGAGATGACAGAGAGACTAAATGAACACCTCAATCAATGTGCCAGAACACTGAACGATGGAAAGCTACTTGCAAAGTTAAGTGGCGGAGACGTTGTTGCCCTGGAGGTTAAGTACCACCTTCGATGCCTCCAAAAGTTGTACAATGATGAAAGAGCGTACCTCAATTCATTAGAGAAAGCAGAGAGTAGTGATCCAGGGAAGGATTTATACCCACTGGCCTTTTCAGAACTAATTATCTACATCATGGATAGCAAAGTCACCAACACGGAAGCAGCACCAGTTGTATTTCGGCTTGCTGACCTAGCCTCACTCTAGCTTGGGGTTGATTCCCCGAATGTCCACTCTACCAGGTTGAAGGAACAGCTACTTGCTCGGATTCCAGAACTTGAAGCCCATAAGAAGGGACGTGATGTACTCCTTGCCTTCAAAGCGGACATATAACCAGTGCTCCATGAAGCTAACCAGTATAGCAATGCTCTCCATCTATCTAATGCAGCAGATATCCTGAGAAAAGAAATGCTCCAGCACAAGACAAAATTCAGCAGCGAGCTCAAAGATGGCTTTGATGAGGAGGCTATCCCACCTGCACTTCTTCAGTTCGTGTGCAGCATTGAACATGGTGTTGATATAAAATCACATCTGACGCACAGAATAGCGAAGTCAGACTTAGCTTTTGCTCAGCTTTTACAGTTCAACTGCTACTCAAAACGTAGAGAAGGATTGACAACCCAAATACATTCTAAAGACCGTGAGACCCCTTCCATGAGCATGGACTAAGCATATCGTATGACAGGGTATTAGAGATATCCGGCAAGCTTGGATATTATTGGATTTAGAAGATGTGTGTCCATCAGTGCTCCGAAAAGGGTTGTTCACTACGGCCGCTGTCGACAACATTGATCACAATCCCACGGCCACCACAGCTAGCACGTCATTCCATGGTACAAGTATTTCCATATTCCAGCACCCAAGTAAGGAAAACAGAGGAGAACAGTGGGTTTCACCCGAAATAACAGACAGTAGGGCAAGAAAGGTTCCTGAGCTTCCAGAGCATTATACAAACATCGCGCCAGCCTACTTCAAGAAGAACCCAACCCCAGCCTCAGTAGATGAAGTATCACTGCCTGAACCCAGTCTCTTCCAAAGGAACATAAGAGTCGAATACGAATGGTTGGAAAAAGTTCAAGGTACCACCGATGTAGATGATGAATCTAATATAACATGGTCAGCTCATCATGCGAGCCAGAAACGGACTAGTGAAACCAGCATCACTTCCTTGCTACCTCTTCTCCGAGATCAAGCTCACAGCGTTGCCACAATAAAGCATGCCATGAAGAAAGTAAGGGAAGCTGTAGCAAACTCCCGTCCTGGCAGCTGATCAACTACACTATGCCATGGCAAAAGAAATACAGTGGTACTGGCCAGAGGAATATGGAGAAGACAAGTTTGTGATCATGTTTGGTGGGCTGCACATTGAGATGACAGCACTGAAGTCTATTGGGTGGACGCTAGCAGACAGTGGATGGACAAGTGCACTTGTTGAAGCTGATGTAGCCTCTTCCGGAACTGCAGATTAATTCCTGTTGGCAACCAATGTCACTAAAACACGTCAAGCACATCAGGTCACAGCATGCAGTTTGTTTCAGCTCCTGAAGAAAGTCTACAGTTCGTACCTTGCCGAACATTCTGATGGCGATGAGGAGGCCCCCAGCTTTGTGGAATGGTGTGATAGTCGAAAGAAGGAGAGTCCACAGTCCGCATTTTGGTTCTCTATCCTGAACATGGAATTGACAATCTTAACACTGGTGCGAGCATTTAGAGAAGGGAATTTCAATCTGTATCGAGAATCACTGTCGGAACTGATACCCTTTGCCAACAACAATGTCAACTATGCAAGGTGGCTTCCTATTCATCTGCGTGATATGATATCATTAGAGAAAAGGCACCCCGAGGTCACCAGAGAATTCCACAATGGGAATTTCGTGGTTCATAAAACTGACAGGAAGTTCTCCGCAATGGCAATCGACCAAGCCATCAAAACAATACCGTCATCAAAGGGGATAGGGGAGGTGTTGGTCTGACAAAGGATCTATCAGCTCTTCGGAGGTGGCTGGTGGCTGGTTCAGAAATTAGCAAATTCGTTGCTGACTATGAAGCCGTATCAGGAAGCAAAGAGGCAAAGTCATCACCATGAGCAGTGGACAACTGCTCAGAAGGCATTCTTTGAAAAGGTTCAGCGGCTTACAAGTGTGATAGAAGAAATGGGTAATCCATTTTCGAAGGAGTCCACTGATCTACTGTCGCTTGACACTAAGGACATTGCTGATCCTACAGCAGCGCTGCTGGTTGCATCTCATCTGGAGAAAGGGAAAGAGCAATTCCAAACATTCATGGATAAACTCAAGACCGACAGTCAGCATTTCTATCAGCTAATCAATCGGAATAATAAAGACTTCTTCAAAACAAGCACAGATCCAACAGAGAAATCAGAAACACAGCTACTAAAGGAGGATTGTCAACTGTTCTTCCGCCTTTTCATCTCCTGCCAAAGCAGAGAGTGTGATTTACCAGAGTTTTTCAAACACGAGAACCTATCTTTCCCTCCGTCACTCAGCAAGCGAGGCAAACTACATGTCGCTACCAAGTCTGATCTCGTGGGCGTCCTGCAAACCAAGGTGGAGCTTCCAGACACGAAGCCAGAAACTGACGTAGTAGATGGTGCATTTCTAGTCAATACAATAACGCCTAGGAAACCGAAGACGTTTGAAGAATGTACCAGACAGGATATTCTTCCTAAGGTGCAATACTACAGTAGCAATTACAAGAGGACAGATATCATTTTTTATGTCTATCACGAATCTAGTCTGAAGTCTGAAGCACGATCAAAACGTGGGAAAGCTATCAGGAGGAGATTAACGACAAAGAGCAAAACACCGACTAATTGGTGTCTAAGGGACAGCGCCAACAAAACAGAACTGTTGAATTTCCTTGCTGACGAAGTGGGTAAAATGATCACAACGAATGAAGTAATTGTAACACGAGAGGAAAATGCCCTACCAAGTTCCAGCCACCCTGATACTAAGATAGACGAATTGGATCCTTGCACACATGAAGAGGCAGATACCCGGATATATTTGCATGCCTGGAATGCAGCGAAGGATGGACACAAGTCTCTCATGATTGAAGCTAATGCCACGGACATTGTCATCATAGGGCATGGAGAAAATGTGGATCGCCTATGGCAAGGGGGAGCACACTCGATGGATCCCAATACACGACCTTGCATCTTCTTTGGACCGGAAAAAACCGAAGTGATACTATTCTTCCATGTGTTTTCCGGATGTGATGTGGTAACTGAATTCAATGGCAAAGGGAAAAAAGCATGGCAGACATGGAATGTTTGCAACGATGCCTTGGCTACATTTGCGAAACTCAGTCACTGTCCTCCTGAAATTAATGAGTCTGATCTACAAGTTCTAGAGAGATTTGTTGTTCTGATGTACGACCGGTCAAGTGATGCTACTACAGTAGATGAAACAAAGTTAGATTTCTTTGCCAGGAAGCAGAGGTCATACGAATTAATCCCGCCAACACAAGGAGCGCTAAAGGAACATGCCAAACGTGCTGCCATCCAAGCAGGACATATCTGGGGACAGTCCGTCGTTCGTGATCCAGAGCTTCCGTGTCCTTCCGTGTGGGGATGGTTGAAAGACGGTAACAAATGGAAAGTTGCCTGGACTTCCTTGGAACCAATTTCTAAAAGCTCTCGTGAATTGACAAAGTGCGGATGTAAGATAAAATGTGGTGGAGGACGATGCAAGTGCTCAAAGGTTGTGTTACGTGTTGATAATTGTAACAAAGGAAAACAAAATGATTTACCACAACACAGAGCTAAATCACAAACAAATATTTAATTTACTAAAACAGAACATAAAATATATACAGGAGAAACAATTGTAGACTACAAAACAGAAAACAAAGAGTTACTGGCGGAGTGTTACGAGGAAGAAGGAAAGGGAATCAAATATCTTTATCACTTTAGGGCTAGTGAAGTAATCTAAGTGCTATATTTGGAAATCCACAAAGGTGTGTAAATAAATATTAATTTTTAGTTTGATCAATGAAAATTAGTCAAAATTCTATTTACCAACTTTGTTCCATGAAATTCTCTTTTGGGTTTTGGTTGGTCGGCAACTTTTTATAGAGATTCTTTCGGCTGGATATAATAGTCTTTGAATCAAAAGCCGGAGTTGATAACAGCAGAAATTCCCATTCATCAACTGACAACCCTTTTCCAAAATCCCATTTTTATAGAGGGCTAACACCTAATTTGCATATTTCTAGATGTTTCTCGAATCATCTAGATTTTTCTCGAATATACTAGAATGATCTAGAATCTTCCAAACATTCTATTTCTAATTTCTCTATTTTACAACTACTTCATGAATGAAAACTTTTTTGTAATAACAAGTAGAACTCAAAGGAATCCCTTATTATAGAAATGCATCCTCGTAACAGTTGGAACAGGCTGTATTCCGCTTTGCAGTTGCCCTTGTGAGATTTAGTAAACAACAACGAATGAACTTCGGGCTGTACTTTTGTCGCCGGTTCTTGGAAGATTATCCTATTGAAATTCAAATGCAGAGAGTTGTAAGGATATATATATATGACCTGTAGATATTTTCCTAGATATGGAAAATTTCCATGCTGGATATTAGCACAGAAAGTAATTTTGACGTTGAATTGCACATTTCATCAGGATTGTAAATGTCGACTTTAAATCATTTCATGTAATTATCCACCCTAGGGTATGGGCGCTATATCATGCCAAATCAATTGAAACAGTGCAATCATTGAGTTCTCTCACTCAGATTTAGAATTGATACGGCAATAAATAAAAAATATTTCACCAAATTCGACTAATTTAATGATTTCAGATCAAAATCATAAAACAGAGGCCCGTTTGGCAGCCATCTTGAAAAAGTGGCCACCATATTGTTTTTTTGTTTTTTCGTGGCTAGCACTTTTACCTGAATGAGTGGCCTACAAAGAACACTCATGCCAAATTTCATGTTTATATCACAATTTGCACTAATAGTTTTTGAGCAAAACCATAAAACGGAGGCCCGTTTGGCAACCAACTTGAAAAATGGCTGCCATGTTGAATTTTTTTCGTGGCTAGCACATTTTTTCTGAATAAGTGACCTATCAGGAACACTCGTGCCAAATTTCATGCTTATCTCACAATTTGCACGATTCTACCCAAAATTTACATTTTGCTGCTCCACTATAGTGGGAAACTTGTCTCTCGGTTGTTTTGGGGGTAAACTGATACTTCTGTTAGAGTTTAACAAATTGATTTTTTTTTTCATGTTGAAAGAAGTCTTTTTCCCAATTTTCATTTTTCTGTCATTTCCTTATCTTCAGAATAAAACCGTAATTAATTCTGAACAAACTTCAGTTATCTAATTACGAATATTTTTATGGACAGAATCAAAAAGGAATTATAAACCATTTTTAAAAATTATCCAAGGTTTATTTTCAACAATGTCAGATTTAGTAGGAAAAGTTTCACTAACACACATATAACAGAACTGCAACTGAATCTCTATTTAAATAATTTATTTTTACGTATCACTTTTTTTCCCAAAAAAGAAAACAAAAAATTGCAACTCCGTTTTTCAAAAGTTGTCAAAAATCCGCGAAATATCCGCTTTAAACCAAATTTTCTGTATTTATTCATTAATAAAGTGTGTTGAATAGATCATTTTATTAAAAATTGTGCAAATATTTTTGGAAGTCATCAACTTTTCGATATCTTGTATGTATTTTTTTAATGGTAGGTGCCAAACATTTTTGTTTGATAGTTTATATAAAAAAATCCCTGATGAAAAAATGGGAAAATACTGAAAATTCGTCGTGATCCTTTCCAAAAATAATTCCATATAGGTACCCCTACTTGGTCGCGTCAAAAAACAGCATGATGAAAAAAGGATCCATACTCAATAAAAATAAAAAAATTTCATACAAATGTAATGTTTAGGAAAGACCAAAGTATTTTTTTTTTATTTTTTGAATTTTTTTACACCTTTGCACGTTGAAAATTTTGTTTAAAAATCTTGATATTTTTTTATTATTTTTTTTTTTTTTGGTAACCCGATTCATCGAAAATCTGCTCTGAATTGTAAAATAAAAAATACAATAAAACTATGACATCATTTAATTTAGAATTCAAAAATTTTTAATTTTTAAATTTATGTAGTTGTAGTATAAAAAAATAAAATTGATTTTTTAAGTTTCATAGTATAGAATAAAAAAATTATATTCTTAAACTATTGGTTAATTTATTTTTAAATATGAATTGAATTCAATTTTTTTTATTATTGCATAGTATGCCGTATGTTTGTTTTTAATTTTTCGCGCATTTTCGAAGTAGGGATTACTATTACACTACAGTAAAAGAAAAAACAATTGTTTTTTTTAATCTATGACGTCACAAGCTAGCGTGCGTAAATAAAGATTTTTCACGATGTCTTATTGTTTTAAGCAAATGTAAGCATTATTTTTTTACAAAATCCAATTAATTAATCCTTAAATTTACTAATTTACTTTGAAGCATTTGCATGTAAATGTAACAATCTGGGAAATTCTTAATAGAAATTGAGCGCAGGTCCTACACTGCAAATTAGCACGCAAGTTTGATAAATATACCCCTAAGAAAATTAAAATCTAATTTGGATACATTTCATGAATAGAATATTGAAATTTTTTCATTGTACAACTGCTTCACATTTTAACAAGTATGGTAGGAGTAGAAAGTGTATGATATCATAATATGATAATGCTTTATTACAGAGTAAATTTATTTGTAAAACAAAAATTGAAAATTTGCCCAAAATCAGGAAATTATTGGATTTCGTTGAAATTTTCTGCATTTTTGTTCATTAATGATGTAACTGTATATTGAAACACTGTAAAAAATATATCGTGTATTTTTGTTTCCATGGAAAAAATAAATCTCTGTATATTTGTCAAAAATTTGTATTTTTACAATATGATTTTATTGTTGTTGCTATAAATTTGATTTTTGAAGAATCGAAAAATGTAAAGTTTTAGAACATTGTTTAAATTATATTTTTTCATTTTAATTATTTGATTTCTTTTTTTCTATAGAAAAATTTGGATTATGTCCTTTGAGATGAAAGAAATAACCATTATCACGGCCACCAAAAATGGGAAGTTTGACTAATGATCTACTCATGCTAATAGTATTTTTGTTTGTTTTAATAAAGTTTTGATGTTATAATAATGTTAGAAATAATTTAGTAAAGATAAAGAGGAGTTGACTTGAAAACTATTTCCACATTTGATTTATAGCGTAAATGTTTGAAGGGTTTTAAAACAGTTGTTTGAGCTTTGAACCAAGTAAGAATTGCTGGGAAAAATCTATTTTTTTAATACTTTTTGCAAAATGTAAGTACTTTAAAAAAAAAAAAAAGAAGCATACAAACGTCCCAAACCTTTCCCTGTCATTAAAACATTTATTTTAACTAATGAGAGTGTATTAAAATTTTAAACATAAAATATATAAGGTAAATTGTAGTTGAAAAGTTCTCAAAGTGACAAAATCAAAAACTCTGCAGGTTGAAAGTTGCAATTCTGTATGTTGCAAAACTGTCCTTCACACACTGCAGAGAACAAAAAATCAATGGTATTTACTTGCCAGACCCCTCCTCGTGATGATGGTAGGATGTGAACATGGGATTTTTTTTTTTTTTTGGGGGGGTGCCTATGCGTATACAAATGGGCCAAGGCCAAAAATAGCCCAGTCCGCACAACCACTGTCATGCTGGTATTAGTATTACACCAAAACCTCATTCTTTAGTGTAATGTGAGAGGTGCTGTTGGAAGGTTGGAATACTCAGAACCAAGCATCCCTGTTTTATTTTGTGAACTATCTGAAAATAGAAACGCAGCAGAGTGTTAATTGGGTTTTTGTCCCAATCCGAAGATCAAGAAGAGGAAAACCAAATGACTCGATGCTTGAGGCACTCAATTTATATGTAAGTCAGGAGGTTGGTGCTTCATTGAAGTAAAACAAAAATTATCATGTCATTCTCTATGAAAAGACATTATAACCAACCAATGAATTGTTTTCTCAAAACAATTACAGTAAAGAAAATTTAGAAGTAAATTCAGAGATAAAGACAAAAACAAGATCAAATCAGTGAGAGCTGAAGAGACAGAAAACCTAATCAAAATCATGCAGAAAGAAGAAATGGTCATAAATCAGGCAGGAAAACAGATGATCAAAATTTTAAATCTATTTCGTGTAGGAGGAGGAGAAGAAGAAGAAGAATAACAAAGACAATACTGTTCCTAATTTTTTCTGTTGCCTAATGTATGTGAGAAAAAAAGAATATCATTTTCTCAAATTAACCAATACAATAAACAAAAAAAAAAACCTCTTAATTTTCTAATATTTGACTTGTGTGATGTCCAGGTTTTGGCTTGGCATTTCAACACACCTTTGTACTGCTTCAGTTAAATCTGATATTTCTCTTTTGAATTTTCTCAAACAAGAACATTGACACAAAATTAATTCTTGATTCTCATATTTTTTTTATATTTTTGTTAACTGTCCTAGAACAGTGTTGCCTTGTAAATCTTACTACTTACTTATTTTTCTTTTTGATCTTTGTTATATAGTGTGTTAGCCAATTTGTATTGGTTAAGATACAAATGAAACTGACACTGTACTATTTTTACTAAATCAAATGTTACAAAGACAAGAATAACAAGAGAAATAATCAAGTAGAAGAATTTGTTCAACAATAAATGTTTATAAAACACAAATACAAAATATATGCTAAAGTTGTGAAAATACTTTAGAGTTCTTGATTGTGTGAATAAAGTAATATTGAAAGATTTAAAGTTGTTGATCTGTATGTATGAATATAAGAAAGTGTGCTTAAGTATTATTGTTATTGTATGAAAATTAAACAGTTCTGTTTTTGTATTAAAATAAAAAGTATTGTTCTTGACTCATTGTGATTTTTACAGAGTTGTTGCTCTTTGACTGGAGATGTTTGTAGTGAAAAAAATAAATTCTTGAAGTGAGAATTCTTTAGCAAGCTGGATTTATGTTAATTTAAGTAATTAACATTAAGCCTGAAATTGGTTTCATAGATTTCATGTGATGAGTTGAATATTTTAAGGACCCACTGACTAAGTTGCGTTGAAGTTTTGTATTTATGAGTTCTCTTGGTCACATGGGGGCTTGAGAACATGTTTACATTTTGTGGCGTCAACTCGAGGTCAAAATTTGGGTCAGTACCTTCAGATATAGTTGATGACACCTAATTGATAGTTTTCAACCAATCAGAATACATCACTTGTTATAAACTTGGTTGGGAGCCTCTATGTGTTTATCTTGCACATATTTAAGAATTAAAACAATAAATGTAGAAATCTGATTCTACAGTTACATGTGCCTCTTTTAATATTAGAAAAATCTCAATCAGGAATTGAATTAGAAGAGTCCATGAAAACATTAAGATAGAAAGATTTCAAATTTGACAAGAGTGTATAAAAGGAATAAAAAGTGAGTTATAAATGAGAAGCTGATTGAAACAAGAGAAAATATGAATGAGGAAGGAAAGGAATATAGAAGAAGTGTTATGATATTTCAAGTAGGGATGCAGTTGTATGCTACAGTTGTATGATGCAGTTGTTGGTTCTACAGTCCAAGTACCATTGCCACTACCTTACATAGTGAGCCTATATATAACATATACTTTGCTAGTTAGTGGGTAACACTGACCAACCACTACTACATCTCCCTGAAGTGAATAGGCTTTATGCCCTTTGTTGATCTCAAATGTCTACTCTCATTTTGAATTCCCTCTCTCACCCACATCTAGAGATCTCTGTATATTTTGATCTGCCTCATTTGTTGAAGTACTGTTCTTCACAAGATGCTAGAATTCTTCAAACTGTCTTGGTCTTCCATTGATTCCTTATCACTCATTTCCTGTTGGTTTATAGAATCCCAGCTGGATTCGCTCCCTAGTTCAATTTCTATCTCCCTTTCGTATTCTTGTTTGGTTCTTGTTTGATCTTCATTGGCAACAACATTATTACCCTTTTTAAATGCTGTATTGTGTCCCTTTTGCATTATAAAATATGCACTTTTGGGTACAGATTCTTTATTTTTCTTGTACCACATTCTTTCATTAATGAAATGTAACAGGGGTCAGAAACTTTTTGGAGAGAGTAGGCCAGAAAGCTATGCAGTATTTCTGAGGAGGGCCATGATATCAAATGTACTATAATAAATTGTCTTGACCTCAGACTGCTCCGTCCAGAAGGATGCTTTTATCTGGAGTTTTAAAGAAAAAGTTAATATATTATTTAAACAAGGTTCCTTATTTTACTGCAGGAATAACAGGATAGCAACTAACACAATCAGAAAAAAAATGCAAATTCCTTACTACAGTTAATTTGGTGGGCTGGATGTAGCCCAGTGTTTGCTGACCCCTGGAATATGACATGGTTAATGGGAATTAATGCAGACAGACTTTCTAACCTGCCAGCATGTAGTATAGTTCTGTAACTAAGTAATAGTCTTGGTAAGAAAATATTAATCTCATCTCGCTGGAGAGAAAATACTCTCAATCCCATTTTTATAGACTGCACCATTCTTTTTGCAATTCCATTTGATTGTGGATGATATGGTGGGGTTTTATATGGAATACATCCAATTTTCCTTAACAAAGAACACAAAGTTCTGGGGCATTATCTGACACTAATGTTTTCAGTACTCCATTTCTAACAAATATTACGCATGATATTTACTTTGTACTAGTTTTCCTATTGTGACCGCTAACAACTTCAGGCCAGCCAGAAAAATAAAACACAATCCTGCACCATTAATGTGCATGTCGTCCATGTGAACACAAGACCAAGACCATGTGTGTACTTTATTCTGGTGAAAACTTCATATTTCAGCACATTTTGGACATTTGTGTGTATGTGATTTTCAACATCACATGCATATCCAGGTCACCATGCTTCCGTGTAACTCTAATTCCACAATGCACAGTTATACACACTTTTTATTACATCTTTCTACAGTCAACTTGTTTAATTTCTTTGTATGGCCTTTCAGCTTTTGAACAATTATTCCATTTAATGGTTTTTATTCCAGATAGTGGGTCTTAAAATGTTTCTGAGACAAGTTGATTTATCAGTAGAATTTGTTTCTACCCAGTGCAAAAATTCATCTTCCATATTTTCTAATATGCTTTCTTTTTGTCCATTTTTAAAATGTAATCTGGACAATGGATCTACAAAAGAAATAACATTTCCTTTTACATATTCTATATCAAAATCAAAAACCATAAGCCTTATTTCCTGTTTTAATATTCTGGAAGATCTAGCTTTTGGTAATTCATTCTTCAGGTTAAAAATGAATTTTAGGGTAGGGTCTGACAAGAAAATTGACAAACCCTACCAGTTTTCTAAATTATAGCTAAAGCCTCTTTTTCTTAATTTTGAGTTATTAGATTTGGCCAATGTTAATGCTCTAGAAAGATACATAACTGGGTGTCCTTCCTGGGCTAAGATTGCCAATATGGAATTTTTACTAGGATCTGTAATTAATATAACATCTTTTTCGGTGTCAAAAATCTTGATATTGGTTTTTGCAAGAGTAGGGTTGTTGTATATTAATCCACTTAAATACATTGTTCTTTTTTATGCAACTTGGCAAACACTTCAATTAGTTCTGGATATTTGGGTAAGTATTTCCAATGAAAATTAATTAAACACCGGAAGGATTCTAATTTATTTTTATTAGTAGAAACTCTATGACCTCTAATATTTTCTGTGTCAAACTTGGGTCTGGCAAAATTCTATCTTTTGAAATTTGATACCCAAGATATATTTTTTCATAGTTAAATACACATTTATTTTTGTTAATCATCATTCCAGATATCTTTAGTCTATTTAATACCAGGTTGGTTTTTTGTTTCAACTTTTCTTTATTGGTTGCACCCAAATATATGTCATCTTGATATATTATATTTTTTATGTCCTTTCTTAGAATGTTTTTTATTGCTTTCTGAAAGATGGCACTTGTTTTCACCCCATAAAGCATACAAGTCCATAAGCAGTTCAACTGGGGTGATTTCTTTTAAATTTATCATTATTTTGGATTTGATGGTATGCACTTTTTAGATCAATTTTCGTAAAGCATTTCATTCCAGCTAACGAATGTAATATATTTTCAATGTTTGAGATAGGGTAAGAAGCCAAACAAATCTTATGATTTATGCCTAATTTATAGTCACAACAGATTCTAAAATCACTGTTTGACTTTCTCAGAAATACTGTCCATTTACTTCCATCCATGGGGGACATTTTCCAAAATACCTTGTTCAGTCATTTTATGTAGTTTCACAACTTTTTTCTTTTTTCAGTGAAGTTGTAATCTTGTGCAAGGGTTTATTGAGGTTTTGGGGAAAGCATCTAATTACTCTCCCAAGAATTACAGGGGTAATAAGCAGAGAAGAGAAAGAGACAAGCAGTAACAAAATAACACTGCTTCAGAAATCACAGCATAGCAGGTGGTGCAGCAACTTAAAAAATGAAATGTCCATGGGACCAACTTCAAAAAAACAGTCTTGCCAACTGCTAACTGTTGGTTATCCCATCACTTTTATTGTCATAGGGCAGTTTACAAAAACCCAGACTTTGACCAGTTGCAGAGAGGTGTGTATCTAGATATGCCAAGCTGTTCCACTACTAACAGGAGAAAAACGCGGATGTAACAAGTGTTGAAAGACATGTCTGTACTAACATGTGTTCACTACAAGTTCACCCCGTACAAAACCCGGGAGCCACTTGATATAGATGTAGAAAGAAAAACGGCTTACCTCCCAGAACAAAAACATGTTCTTATGTATCTCATGTGCAAAGTACGTGACAGAAAATACAGCTGATTTAAGAACAACTCATTCTCGGAGCTGAGAGATTTTGTGAGACTAGTGGTCATGCTTTGTGTGTGAAGTTTCATATTAGTATTACCAATGGTGATTTGTAAACTAAACTATAAGAAAACAAGTGGTTTTCCTGGAAAAAGGATTAATCCCAACTAAGGATTTTTGTCAGTCACTCAAATTTATACTACAAGCTATTTTGGCTTCCAAGTAGACATAATGTAGTAGGTTAAATTTGATATGAAACTCATACTGGAGTCTGATGGATCGTCCATAGTTGAATTCGTCGAAAAGGCAAAACTTGTATGCAAGATGTGCAGTGTAAAACATCTTGAATACATAATCCATTTAAGTTATCAGGTGGTGTATTTGCTGTCTACAAGCAGATGGGAGAATAGGAAAGAGCGGATATTAACCAAATAAAATCCGCATTGTATACAGCTTTTGTGATGGATGGTTTCATGGTGTATGAGAAATTTACTGAGTGACAGCTTCATTGTGTCTTGTCTTGTCTTGTAACGGCATTCACCCGGGGTGGGTTGAGCCGGCTTCAATTGACTTAACCATATCGCGCGTCAAGGCCATCCACCCCCGTCGATCGGCAGCAGAATCGACGACATGATCGATCCATTCGCGATTCCTGCGTCGGACCCCGAAAACGCGAAGACCGGACATGAGTTCCATATCTGCTTTGACCGTTGCGAGCCACGTCTTGAGTTGACCACCTCGGCGCTTCCTCCAAACAGTGGGTGCGTTTGGCGCCACCAGTTTACGGACGAACTCATCACCAGGCCGCCGAAGCACGTGGCTGAACCACTGGAGTCGCCTGTTAAGCAGAGTTTCTTCCAGGCCCAGAATGTTCCATCTGGCGCGGATGGACGAGTTTGGGGATCCGGTCGGAGAGGCACACGCGCAGGATACGGAGGAGGCAGTAGTGATCGAAGACCTCAAGCTTATGAAGATCCTCTCTGCACAGTGGCAAGGTCTCACAACCATAGAGAAGAATTGTTCTGACCATGGCTTCGTAGATTCGCAACTTCGTGGATAGTCTTATCTCCTGGCGAGACCAAAGTCGTTTTTGAAGACGGACAAAGGCAGCTCTAGCCAAATTTATATGGATGGTGATTTCGTCCTTCGCTTGACCAGTGGCTGTAAAAGATATTTTTCCACCCCTAAATTCCAACCCCTCCTCACCGTGGTAGGGGCGGTGGCAACGTGTTCCTGTCAGGACTATGTCGTCGGAACCTCAGTTCCAGGTAGGGCCACCCATGGTAGATTGGTCTGACACGGCACGGCTAACGGGGCTCTGGTCATCAAAAGGTCTGGTATGCCTGGGCTGGACAGCGGGGAAGTGCTCCTGCTGGCCTAAAAAATAGTCCAATAGGCGTGTGCAACAAGATCACCTCTGCCAGTCAAACTCCTATCTCAAACTACATGGGAGGTGTGAAAGGCGAATGAAGCTCCAATGAACACACCAAATCTGCGAAATACCACTACTACTACGGCGTCCGCAGGAACCGACGCGCTCGCGGTCCCAGCGCCGCGAGTGTCCAATCAACGAGCTGGACTATTTGGACTATTTTGACGTAAGATGACCCATCACGTGGCCTGCTGGAACGCGCTCACGCTGAAACTTGAAGAAACTCAAGCACTCACTGTCCACGCTCTCCACCAGTACAAGGTCGATGTGGCCTGCCTCTCGGAGGTTAAGCTTGCAGACCATGGTCACAAGTCTATCAAAGTACCTCTATCTGACGCTGCCTATCATCTCTATTACAGTGGACCCACGGATGGATCCGGGCGCCATGGTGTAGCACTGGTCCTAAGCGATCAAGCGAATAACGCTCTCCTTGCCTGGGAACTAGTCTCTCCATGTCTTGCCCGTGTCCATCTGCGAGGAGCCCTGTTCAACATATCCATAATAGCTGTTTATACCCCAACTCTTGATGCTGATGAAGTCACCAAGGCGTCCTTCTACGACAGACTCCAGGCTGTTATGGACGGCATTTCTCCTAGAGACTTTGTGGTTATTGCGGGTGATTTCAATGCGCGAACTGGTACGGTGACGCCAATAACAGACATATTGTCGGACCATTCGCTATCAGTGACCGCTGCTCGAACGGAGAGCGGCTGATCGATTTTGCTGCTGCAAACCGGCTTACTGTGTCAAGTACTCGATTCCAGCACCCTCGGTGGCACCTGGTGACTTGGTACTCGAATGACGGTGTCACTCGGAACCAAATCAATCATATCCTCGTCAAGTCACAGTGGGCCTCGAGTGTCGTGGACTGTCGCGCATTCCGGGCAGCCGAAACAGGCAATGAGCATGGCTCCGACCATGTCTTGGTTCGTTCAAAGATGCGCCTTCGCATGAGAGCCAACCTACCATCTAACCGCCCTGTGAAATACGATATCTCGTGACTCAGATATTGGCAAACCGGAGCCGAGATCCAGCTCCGGTTTTTAAATCGCTTTGACGGTCTTCAAGCACTTCAACCCATTGAGTACTCAGCTGAGGACTCCTGGCAGTTATTCAAAAGCAGCGTAAACGAAGTTGCCTCGCAGACCCTGGGTAAAACCAGACGGCGGGCGAAGGACTGGATCTCTGGTCGCACTATTGAGCTCGCAAACCAAACTAAACGAGCCCGTTGCTTCGAGAACGACGACTTCCGCCGATTCCGCCGTGAGACTGCTCGCTCTGCGAAGGCTGATCTCAATACTTACTGGCGAAACGTCACTGCAGTCATGGAGCAAGCGGCATCAGTAGGAGATTTCCGAAAACTATACCAGACTAGCAGGCTAAGCGAAGTGCTGCTGGATACGAATGGAACGCCTATCTCCCAGATGGCAGACCGCACAATCCGTTGGAAGCAGGATTTCAAGACCTTGCTGAACCATGACCCTCCCTTTCAACATACCACTAGCACCCTAACAAACGCCCCCGAGTATGATGCCAACTGCGATTCTCCAACGGAAGAAGAGATATGTGATGTCATCAAAAGACTAAAGAATAACAAAGATGCTGGCGAGGACAGTCTTCCGGCGGAACTCTACAAGAGCTGTCCTAACCTTATGGCCAGATGCCTACACCCAATGCTCGACGCTGTGTGGCGTTCTGAGCAACTACCCCAGGACAGGAGTGATGCAATTCTCCTCCCCTTTTACAAAAAAGGCGACCGTCGCGATTGTCGCAACTATAGAGGCATCAGTTTGATCGATGTCGCCTCAAAAATTTTCTCGATTATCGTACTGCGTCGTTTCCAGAATATCCGGGACCGCCGAACTCGTCCTAACCAAGCAGGCTTCCGGAGAGGCAGAGGATGCATAGATCATATTTTTTCCCTCAGGCGAATTCTCGAACAGCGATGGGCTTATCATCAATCTACCGTCGTTTGCTTCATTGATTTCACCGCAGCATTCGACTCGGTGGATCGCAGAAGCCTCTGGGATATCATGCGTCATGATGGCTTCCCGTCCAAGCTTCTCAACCTCATCAAGGTCTACTACGCTCACACTCGAACTAGAGTGAGGTGCTATAGGTGCTATGGGGAAGACCGGACATGAGTTCCATATCTGCTTTGACCGTTGCGAGCCACGTCTTGAGTTGACCACCTCGGCGCTTCCTCCAAACAGTGGGTGCGTTTGGCGCCACCAGTTTACGGACGAACTCATCACCGGGCGTCCGCCAAGGATGTGTGCTCTCTCCCATCCTGTTCAACTACATTATTGACTGGATCCTGGAGAATAGCATTGGTTGGCCTCGCGGGTGTCAGAGTTGGCCACGACTGCTCCATCACCGATCTCGATTATGCCGACGATGTTGCAATCCTTAGCGAGTCCTACGCGGAGGTGCAGTTCAGTCGCATGGCCAAAATGGTGGGGATGAACATTAACTCTTCCAAGACGAAAATTCTCTCTGCGAACTACCCCCTACCTGATCGAGTGGCTGTAACCCTCGATGGTGAAGCTGTGGAAGAGGTTGAAAGCTTCAAATACCTTGGCGAGCTTCATTGTGGAGAATCAGTCAATGTATACTTGGTGGGGTTGCAAAAACTAGTGGTATTATTCAGTGGAATGAGTAACTGTGAGCTGACATGTGCATTTGTAAGGGGATTGCCAGACCAGGGGAAGCAGCTTCTTCACACTTCGACCTGGATGGATATGCTAGCGATTCACCAGCTGTTGGCTTGAACGCGGGCAATTATGAAGGACGAGGTGATGGAGGACAGTCTGGCAGCTGCAGCAGCATGAATGATACAAGGTGGGACAAGGAATCTTCCTACTGGACATCCACATAATACCATATATCGTCGTTGCAATGGTGCTAACCATTTTGCAAAGGATTGCATGGGACTACACGTCGAAAGGTGGAAACCCCTAATACGCTGCTATAGATGTGATGAGATAGGCCATATCTTCTGACATTGCCCAGGAGATGAGCCAGGGTAAGAGACTTCAGCATTAATCTGCTCCCTGAACTCCATCTGAATGAGGCTATACCTGCGATTACTGTAAGGATCAATGGGCACAGCCTTGGTTGCTTACAGTAGCTTGTTAGTAGAATGCTTTGTCACTCCTGGAAGAGGAAGGAAGCGGATATGCTCACTGTTGTTGATGAAACCCATAGGTACTGTGAGGTTCAACTTGGTATGAGCGACAAGTGCTCTTCGTTGTTGAGGTTCTGGTTGTAAACAGTGTTGGTGCTAGGATGCAGCCTTGTCTGACTCCAAGTGAAACCAGAAAGTAAAGTATGTTTAGTCAGATCCTATAACTGATATAGTGGCATTCATGCCATCATTAAATTGGCGAATGATCTGTCAAAAAATATCTGGGCAGCCATACAGGCAGCTTCCATAGCATCTCTTCTGACTATGTGAAAAGCCTTTAAGAAGTCCACAAATACTATGTAGTGAAGTCGATGTTGTACAATGGCCTTTTCTTGCTTCTATCATAATGTAAAGCTCATGTCTACGGTAGACTGTGAAAAATTCTGGCTAGTAGTTTACCACCAACAGCAAGAGAGGAAATATGTCCATCGGTCTATTGAAATATGTTCTTCAGTTAAATGTATTATATAGCATGTGTGTATCTGATAAAATATCTGATATGAAATATCTAAAAGTAAGTAAGGCAGAATATGTAAATACCAATTGGATGTTTAAATATTTTCAGTTTGGTTTTCAACATTTTGTTCAATAATAATATCAACAGAACTGAAAAAATTAAGGAAAAATTCTTACCATGGCAATCCTACTGCAGTCTTTCTAAGTAACAACACTGACATGGTACCAACCTAATTTTTTCAGTTCTAATGGTTTTTGAATTGAATGAAATGTTGGTAACAAAATAAAAAAATTTAAAACTTTAACTGGTATTGCTAAATACCATTTTACATATAAATATATCGATGAAGGACATGACTGTGAATGTTGACATTCACAATGTTAATTTAACCTTGAAGAAACTGAAGCAAATAAAGTAATCACTTCCTATTAATCAATGATACTGAATATTAAAAATGTGCGAAGAGAGGTATCTATGTTTTAAATGTCCTTGTTCTTGTTTACAATGTTTGCACTTATTGCCAGTCAACTAACCAAATGCATTCACTTTTGGGAAACTTACAAACATGCAATGATTGAAAATGACCAATAAGGAGTCTTGCAATTCATTCATAATATTCTCTTTGAAGATGAAATCCATTGTTCATGAGTTGCCTTAAATCATTTGAAAATGCAAATGTAAGAAGCATAAGTACCAGTAATGCCTGATACTGATTCTAACCATTGCTTAGAAAGAAAAAGTGATTGGACTTAAATGTTGTCATGCAAAACAGCACTGGTGATATTTCACAACCTGACAGTCATGATGGCTTAGCTAAAAACTTCATTTTCAATGTCCTTTGCAACTATACATCTTGTGCAGCATAAACAGATATTGTTGCCACTTTGCTTTCAGGTGTTAAAAGCTGTCCATTGTATATTTCAGTTACCTTCAGTACCTATAAATGAAATGAGTTTGCAATATAACTTATATTTCAGATTATGCATCCTTCATCAGGAATCAAATCCTTTTCATTATTGATAAGTCATGTCAATGTCTACTCTCTGTGTCATTGATAGATGTCAGATGGATGTCATTCAGTTTGACACTACATTTGGAGCAAAGGTGATTCTGGTGGAGATTTTCATTAAATGTTACCAATGGTACCACAAGATAGTAAAAATGCATTAACAGAATCTGGTATTAAAAGTTTGTCCTCTGGCCTTTTCTCAAATAATACAAAATTTCAAAATGTATATGCAAGGCAAGACCAGTGAGGATTTGTTGTACTCTCAGTAGAAGATTAACATTTTGACAATATAAGATATGCAGATAACAATATTTATGGCAGATACAGAAAGAAAAGTACAGGACCTTAAATTAGTACAGGAAATTTTAGCAGTTTTTAGTGGCAAAAATTACATTAATTTGGAATTTCATACAAAAATCAATTTTTTTTCATATGTTACCCCCCACTTATGAAATTTTGAGAAATTAAAATTTCACCCTCTTCATTTAAAGCAGGATTCCTTGGAGAACTTAAATCATGATTTTTTTTTTGTAAAACAGAAGCACCATTTACAGAAAATCTGCTCTGAATTGTATGCAATAAAACATTTTTTAATTGCTTTTATAAATAAGATTGTATTAAGGACCCTGTTGTCTTAAATTTTTTCAATGAATAATGGATTTTTATAAGAATTATTTTCATTTTTGTTTTAATTAGTGTAATTTATTAAGTTTTAAATCTTTTAAAATTCTGTATTAATTTCACCTGTTTAGATATTAAGTACAGTAAAAAATCTATTTACTAATCATAAATTGAAAAGCTTAGTACAAATAATCAAACACCAATATTTTTAAAAGAATTTTGTTAAGTGTATAAATGTGCCAATTTTTCTAGATATGGTTGTTCATACATGACATTATTAGAAAATAAAAGTGATAACTATAGTAAATTTAAAGCCAAAATATCTAAAATTCAATAAAATTATGGAGAATATTTTCCTAATTTTTAAGATTACTGAATGCTTAAACATTATATATAAAAGGCGCTCATGTCATATTCAATTATTTTTTTTGCAGATAAAGCCTCTGTAGAACAACATTAGATAAATATCAATCTGTCATCAAGGTGTCAACGCATCAACAGATTTAATAAACAGCTACCGACATGTTAAAAAAAGCATTTCTATGTTATTTTAAACTTAAATAATAGTTGTTTCAAATTAGATTAATTATACTTTGAATCAGCAAATATTCCTCAAATAAAGTTTCAGAAAAGTATATTTTATTTTTTGAAGTTTTTTTTTTTTTTGCATTACACTAAGCAATGGATAAAAATGGCCCTAAAATCAGATGTTTTAGCAAAAAAAATCTCCTTCCAGTCAATTTAAATTAGTTTTGAAATAGACCAAAGTATTTTGCTTATTGGAAATATTAAATTTAATCTGTTGGTTTGAAATTAAGACTAAAATAAAAGCTTCAAGAAAGATTTTTCATTTTTTTAAATTCAGCTGTGGAGGTACCTAATCAAAAAAAATTTTACTTCAGAATTTTTGCTTGTCAATTTAAGACTTGATTGCCTTACCTTCAGTAACAAAGCTGAAAATAATTAGTGATGTAATAATCACTGCCAAGTGCATTCTGATGACCCAGTAAATTCTTGGAAGTAATCTGCAAAAAAGAAATCATAAAAATGTTTTTTGACATTAGGGAATCCTATAGACAGAATCATTACCAAAAGAAAAATTAGTTATAACTTGATATCTTTGTGGGCAAGATAAAAGTTGCAATGTACAAAGAGACACAGATGCTGTGAATGATGAGGATCTGACCCCAACACCCTGTTTGGTGCGGGTGAAAAAAAAAGTAATTTTAATAAAAAGAAATTTTGTTTTATAAAAAATATAATACCAAGTAATCATAAATGTTTTGTGTTATTCTTTATAAAAAGAATAAGTTATGAATCAAATGTAAGTGAAAAATGTCTGCTCTATATCAAAATCTCATTCCCTAATTCCATGCAAATACTGTCAGTTGTGATTTCTCTATTTGAACTGTACCCACATCAAAATCCTGGCTGTGCCCCTGGTCATATTTCATAAATGAAAGCAAATAACATTCATTTAAATATAAAAAGATCAACATTTAATTAAAATAAATTATAATATCAAAGTTAATTCAAAAAATAGATTGATCTTGTTGGGATTGCTATGAGTTTGAATTTGGTATCAGAAGGTTTTTATATTAAGATGGTTAGTTTACGGGAATGTTCACCATATTAATCCGCAACCATATAGAATATAGACATTCAAAAACGAATCAATCACAAGGCAATTGAATAAGAAACACTGATTATGAGATTTCAATAAAACAACATGCATTTATGTACAATTAATATACAATTTGAAAACTTGTAGTTTGATAATGCAAGAAGTTGACCATTGATAAATTGGGTTTCTTATTGATTTGCAGTTCAAAATTGTTCAAGTGTTTAAGAACTGGTCAAACAGAGTAAAATGGAAAATATTATTTATACAGAAATTTGTGTAGTTTGTATAAAGTAGGAGTTTGTATGCGTGAATAAAGTAAGGTTTAATTGTCTAAATTATCCAGAGTTGTTTACCTTGGATTGTTCTGTGTTTGTCTTTGTTTAAAATACAATTTCTATTTTAGTAGTGTGTAAGAACACTTTTCTTAGAAAGTTGTAAGTGAAATGTGAGAGATTATGTGGATGTTCGAGTCAGCAGTTGACACGCGAAAAGTATCTTAAGTCAAAGTAGTAACACGCGTGGATTCGTGTGACATCTCTCTGAAGTTTATTGACTGACTGGTGAATTGGGTCAAGAGGGTCCTTTTTATTTGTTTCTGGAAACCAAAATAGGCTCCTGCGAAGTGGGCGCGAAAACAGTTTTTCGACAATTGTTACATGTCTCGACCAATAGAAAGTCGAGATTTGCAATGCGAGGTGTTGGTTGGTTAAAACTGATTCTGATGGAAGAGTGTATTTTATCTTGGAGGTGAGTATGAAATATGGACGATTCTATAATCTCTCTTTTTTTCTGTCCACACACACACAATCCATGTTCCTTCATGTCATCTTTAATAGTGAAAATTAAATATTAGCTGAAGGAGGGAAATTCATTTTCAAATATATTTAGGTGAAGTGGTGTCTTTGTGTACTATTAAAATATGGTGTTTCTGTTTGGATTCAAAAACCATGCACATGAAATGTGTCAAATGAAACAAAAGTATGTTTTAATTTTACAGTGATATTTTTCCTTGCAAATGACATGTTGCTGCAAAAATTAGTGTCACACACACACAATCCTTTTTGCCTACATAAATTAATGTAATGTCCATTAATAAATGCAGAAGATATATCTATCAAGCAAATATGAGTATGTTGTGGTACGATCCACCTAATTTACATAGTGGAGTACCGACCATATAAATATGGTTGGTACCGGGAAGACGGGGGAGGAAGAAGAGATCCAATCCAGAGACTCTGCCCGACTGCGACTAAGTCAACCCATTCTACAGGAACGGTCTTCCCAAGAATATACCAAACTATCTGTAAATATTGTGTACACGTTCTTGTGTCAATACATTTTGTTTAAGTACATTTTGTGTTGTATTATTATTATTCCATGCTTTATTCAAGTTTCAACAATGGCGACGAGGTATAAAGAACTTTACGAAAAAAAAAAAGAATCGATAATTGATAGCTTTCAACAATAGGGACAAGTCTTTGAAGAACCCAGGCTGAAGGAAAAAATTATTAATTAAAAGTCCAACATCTAATAGAACGGAAAAGTATTCTGAAGTTCTGGATAGTTAAAACTCGTTAAAGGACGACTAAGCATAAAGGAACGTTCACTCAGAAAAATCTGAAAGGTGGCGTAAACGAATAACGGCGAATTAAAAAAAAAAAGAAAAAAAAAGAAAAAAGCTGGCCGACTACAAAAACATGCATGGAATTAAAAGGAGCACAAATACAACGTGTCGACTTTGAAAGGTAACGAATTTGTAAAAAAAAAAAAAATTGTTTATTTTTTTTGTTTGGTTGCTCAACAATATTTTATAAAGCAAGACATAAAATTAAAAGTCGTAAGTTGTTTCGATTTTTTTGTCAGCTTATATTATACACAATTTAAAAGTATATTCTTTGTTGCATGAACACTATCAGCTAAAGATGGATGAATTATCCAAAGTCATAGCTGAATTATTCAAATCCCAGCAGTTGAGTCAGCAACGTCAAAATGAACAGTTTGCCTTATTAATAAGGGAACAGCAAATAGCACAGCAGAAATATCAAGAAAAGCAAGAGGAGTTGAGTCAGCAACGTCAAAGGGAACAAGAGGAAAGACTGGAAAAACAGGAAGAAATGCAGATCAAGGTTTTAGAAATTCAAAAGTTAACACTGGAGAAATTAAACAACAATCAGGCAAATGAAAAAACTCTTCATATTCTAATAACATCATATTTAATTCGCTGGAAACTTTCAACTATGTGCCAGACGAAGGAAAAACGTTTGAAGCGTATTTTAAACGATATGAAGATATTTTCTACACAGACTGTGAAAACTGGTCGAATTCAAGAAAAGTCAGTCTATTACTAAGAAAGCTAGGTACAGCGGAACATAGCAAATTTTAGATTTTATTCTACCGAGAAGAACAAATGAATTGGAATTCTCGGAAACAGTGAAATTGCTAAAGGAGTTGTTTTGGAGCAAATATGTCGCTTTGGCATAAGCGATGGTTATGCATGAATGTCGCTAAATCCGATGATCAGGATTACTTAACATATGCATCTATAGTGAATAGACATTGTGACAATTTCAGATTGGCAGAGATTACGGTTGAAGAATTCAAGTGTTTAATTTTGCTCAAGGACTGGTATCCAGTAAGAGTGCCGAAATAAGACGTAGAGTTTTGTCTAAACTCGAATCTGAACAAAACCTTACCCTGCAAAAGTTAGCAGAGGAGTGTCAGCGGGCCGTAAGTTTAAAAAAAGAGTCTCAAAAAATTGAAGAAGCTGGCATTGCTTATATTAAAAAGTAAAAAAACAGTCA